TGAGGCTTCAAGAGCCACTACCTGTGACAGAATACCACCTCTGGGGAAAAGAGCCAGCTCACAGAGCAGACCCCCTTTGACAGCCTGCTTGGCAACTGGCAGATGCCCTGGTGCCCACTTCCCTGGTGTGCATGGGAGGAGTCACGCTATCAAGAAGTGACCTTCTGCATAAGCCCTACTTTAAATCAGCCTTAAGGAGGCAGAAGAGAGAAGCTAGCCCTGTTCGCTCGCTCTGTTTAGACCTGAATTTCTCGCAGAGATAACAGTGTCTGCAGTGATCTTCCAGAGGCCTTCACATGGAGGCCTTCCTCTCTGTTCCAGTAATAATAAACCTTGCCAGGAGACTGACAGCTCGGCAGATAAGGCTGAGGAATACCACTACATTGCACAGTTTGATGGAGTTCAAGGATGTACAAGAAGCAGCTGAGACAACTGGGTGTGCTTGGTTCTGAGAAGTCTAAAGCTAGGAGGAAGGTGGATCTTATTGTTACTTTTTTCTACTTAGTTGGAGGGAAGAGAGAAGATGCAGCCCAACTTCTCTGATGTGCACAGTACAGGGTGAAAGGCAATGGGCACAAGTTGCAATGAGGAAAGCTCCAGCTAAAGATTAGTGGAAAAAAAAAATCACCAGGAGGGTGGTCAGACACTGCAAACAGAGGGTTTGCAAAATCTCCATCCTTAGATATGGAGACAGTCCTGAGCAACCTTGTCTAGTCTGATGCTGCTTTGAGAAGAGGTGGATCAGAGACCTCCAGAGGCTCCTTTCAATCTAAATTGTTGAGGTACATCACAGAATCATAAAGTAAGAGCCACACATCAGATCTGTACCCTGCTGAACTGGTGCGTTGCCATGATGGAGCCACCATGGAGCTGCAGAGGCAGCACCTATATCTCTGAAAGAGGCTTCAGAAAGCATTTTCTGCTGGAAGAAGAAGGTTATTTGGTGAGTGAGCTTAAAAGAGGAGCTCACAGGGTTTGAACAGACTGACAGTCTATTGAACAAGCCCATCCTATAACTTTTCCAAGACTTTTTCAAGTATTTTTACGATCTGGATTAAGCTTTTGTCCATGTGTACCAAAGTCTCATGCCACCTTGTCTACACACTGTCCCGCTTTCTGTATTTGATTCTTGTGAATATCTCCAATCCAAATTCAAGTAAGGTCAAATCTTTCAAAAGAACTGCTCAAAGAGATTGTAAACATGTGGGTTAAGGACTAATCAAACCCTGCTGCCTCCCAACATCCCTGGGGGATGTAGCAGGGACAGGGAATCAGACTATTTACAAAGGTAGTTTATCTACAAAATCGATCCAAATATAAACATTTTCCTTTGGCATATGGTGCAAATTTCTATGGCCTTTAAATATATAATTTACTCATCAATTTCGGTTTAGGAAACATAGTTCTGCTGAACTACAGGGAAAATGAAACTAAGCGTTTGTTTCTAGCTAATTGCCTGACTGGTACTGTCTAATATAGCAAAGAATACTACAACTAAGCCTTGAAGATCATGTAATGAACGTTCACAATCGCTTTCTCCCTTCTACCAAAAGAATTTTGATACTACTGACATGGAATATATTTTCTTTTTCAGGTTCGAATACACAGAAACATTGAGGCCTCTTGAGGTGGTTATCTTCATACTGTGGTTAAAGTGTCTTAAAACTGTTCCCCACTGTGAGAAATTGTATTTATTCAGAGTTTGATTCAGCACAGCTGTCCAAAAGTTAATTATTTAAGTTTTGTTGCCTCTTCTCAATGTGTAACCAGAAGAAAGAGGAAAATGTTTCAAGGAGGGAACAGTGCCTCCCACCCTGAAGGGGAGAAGCTTTCCTGGAGTAAATCTACATCTCAAAGTACACCCTCTTTCCCAGAGCTGCCAGCACGTAGGCATTTTGAGCTTATGGCTATATGATGGTAAGAGAAACATGTGAGAACACATGAGAAGCACATGAATTTTTTATCGCTTTTTGGTCACAATTGCTCTATGTTTAGACAGCAAAAGGTCCAGTTAAATAACGAGCCTGCCTTCGCTTTTCACTACTTCAGCTCTCATCAGTCTGGACAGAAATTGCTTTCCTAAACCAGATTTCTTTTCTGGATAAAAGGATCTGTCCTTCTTTCTTAATCTTGCATCGTTTCTATTGCCTGATTGCACAGCTAAACAGCATTGCCCTCTGTAAAAGCATAATATTTTATCCTACCTAAAACTTCTGTGCTTTGCAATGTTATTGCATTTATTCACTCCAGTACTATGATCCAGTTTGTTCTCAATGTTACTGGGAATTTTCCCTTCACTGTTTCTCTCTTGCAGTCTTTTCAGCCCAAACCCTTTTTCTCATTGTGCCAAGGCTAAGAAAACATGTTCTTTTAGCAGCAGCTCACCATTGCCCCAAAGTAACTCTGTCACAGTAACCACCAGTAAAGCTGGAGGATCAACATTGTTCCTGGACCAGTGGATTAGGGGCATGGATGTGATGGGACATAATGGATTGCATACCTACTAAGCTATGCACTTTGTCCACGTATAGCAATTCTACAACACAAGCCAAAATCTGCAAGCTCTGATTTTCTAAAATGGTACTCTCAGACATGCAACCCATTCTGCCGTCCACCTCTGTGTACATCAGCAAAATATCGTGAAGGCCTTGTTTTACGTTAAACTCAAGGAGGAGAAGACAACATTGTTAAAAAAATGGCTAAGCCTTGACATAGAATGCAGAGCTGGCAAACTTTTTAGATGTTGCTGAATTGTGTTTTAGTCTGCAAATCCCAGACCCGTGTAACAGCTCTGAATTTCACAGAATCACAGAATCACAGAATTATCTAGGCTGGAAGAGACCCTCGGGATCATCGAGTCCAACCATCTACCCTACTCTAAAGTTCTCCCCTACACCATATCCCCCAACACCACATCTAAACGGTTCTTAAACACAGCCAGGGATGGTGACTCAACCACCTCCCTGGGCAGCCTATTCCAATGCCCTACCACTCTCTCTGTGAAGAATTGTTTCCTAATTTCTTCAAGTTGTTCCTGTTGGTCAGGGCTCTGGTGGGCTCTGACCTCATTGCTCATTGATACCGTTCTGGGGCGTACAGTGCATTCCAGCATCTGCCTCTGGGTCCTTCTGGGAACAGCAGAGCCAGCCTTGCTTGCAGCACAGAGAGGCTGTTGTGCCACCCAGCACTTCCCAGAAGAAAGAGTGGATGAAGACGTTGTCTCCAGGTGAGATTGCAGGAAGCACCGGCAGGTCCGTGCTTGAACGGAGCAAACTGCTGCCGACTGATCCCTGCCATTCACAAGTGGCAGTTGAAATGAAGGCTGCTATGTAGCAATGTAGAAAATTCCCTCAAACTATGCCAAGCATTTGGCCCAGCAGTAGCTAAGAGGACAAAAGCACCGCAGCAATAAATCTCCCTGCGGTCAGTCCCCTGTGCAGCGCACATATTCTCATATAAAGCACTATCCCTGCTAAACATGGTTTAGGAGGCTGTGTGTTGTGTCACCTTTTTTTGTAATGCCTCTTCAAAGCATTTTATTTCCATTTTAAAAGTAAAAAGGAATGACTCTTTCAGAGAACGCTGGTTGCAGCAGCAGGCTTCGGTCAGTTATTTTTCCTTGCAAAACGCATGCACTGCACAAAAATAATTTGCAGCAGCTTCTGATAAGAACATACAATGTCAAGGTCCTGATTGAGAGAAGCCAAGGAAAGAAGCACTGATAATTTTTTAAAAGCTTTGCTGGGGTAAGGGAAGGATTTTCAAGGACGCTGTGATCGAAACAGTTGCCAAAACTTTCTCATCTGTGTCAGCTAGAAACTGTTTTCTCCTCCAACACAAAGGCTTTTGCTTTCCTGCTGCCACTTGCAGGCCCAGTTTTGCTCTAAAAAAGCAACAGTGTGGGGGTGCTGCTTCTTCTATAGGTTTTCTCCAGGGCTGTATTTAATGGGTGAACAAAATTCATGACCACAAAGTAAAAAAGGGAGTTCAGGAGTTAGTCGCACAAACGCAAGTGAAGCATTTTTAGAGATTCATTCCAACTGCCCCTGAAATCAGTGATCCCCTTTCCAGTGATAGCTGCGTTGCTGGGCTTCTCTGTAACATCCTGTAGCAGGACTCCTTGCTTAAGCTTTTCTCTTAAGCTGTAAGAGAAATACAGCCCCAGTCAGTGTGTCCTGACTCCACAACAAGAGTTGGTGGTATAACATAATACCATACCAGTGCAGGTACTATGAGCTAAAGACCTAAGCCCGGTCCTGGCCTCACACTGGAAAAGAGTTTTGCTCAAACTGGAATGAAACCCTGGGGAGAAATACCTGGGCATTTTCCCTGTATTTTGGAGATGTATAAAGTAATGACACAGTTCACTGCAAAGGCACAAACAGACAGATACACCCTTATTTTAACTAGGTGCTCTCACACTAGACATTTCAGAGGTGAAACTATTTCTCTGGCAGCTTTAATTTAAGCAGTCTGTACATTAGATCATCACTTCAAATGCCTCGAGGATACTGAGCAAATACAAAATCCCAGAAGTTATTTTTCTGCCTTGCACAGAGAGAGAAACCCACGCTATAATGGGGAGCCCAGTATGCAAAAAAACCTATAGCAGTAAAGTCTACCTCTCAAACAGTTATAAACAGCTACTCCTGTTATTTCAATTTAATTTTAATGCTCTGTCCCTTCATATCAACACTGTATTACACAAGCAAGCACAGCTACAGAGAATTATCAGTATGAGGGATTACACTCCGAGGTTTTCTGTGTGCAGGACCACGTCTAGGCAGGCGCTCAGACCTTGCCACATCCAGAGCCTTCCTCTTTGAGAGGGGGAGGAGGGGTGGGAGCACCCCATTCGTTTGCAGCAGAGGAGGCATGTGAGAGGGAGGGAAAGCAAAATGACCGAGGTGATGCTCTGGGGTATATAAATACAGGCAGATCTCCCCCACAGTCTTTTGAGTCCTAGAGAGGTAGAACCAAGGATCGAGGCAGGCTTTTGTGGGGTTGGTTTGGCATTGCAGTTGATTTTAAGCATTTTCAGGTTTCTTAATTTCTTTAGTTTGTAGTAGTTTACAAATAGCCTTTTTCTTCAGGTGGAAAAAACGTGTAGGCTACTTCTGAATAGGAATAGCTAGCAAAAGTAAGACATGCTTTAAAAAATGTTGCTTAAAGTAAGGCTTAGAGTTTGTTTTCCAGTAGTCTCTCTCTCTGTAACAACCTTTGAATTGTAAAGACTCCAGAGGTTGATGTCGTATGTTCTTTTCCTCAGGCAGGAGGTGAACCAGCTGGTCTAAGCTCAAGAGATAGCCCGTTCACCACCACAGAGCAGCACAAAGCAATGTCCCTGGCTGGTGTAAGCTGTCTGGTGACAGGAGCAGGAGGGTTTCTTGGCCAGAGGATTGTCCGCTTGCTGTTGGAGGAAGAGGAGCCGCTGGCTGAGATCCGACTGCTGGACAAAGCCTTTAGCAATGAAGCCCTCGGGAGATTTGGAAGTAAGTACCGCCTCGCGAGGTCTATGTGTTGTGGGCATATCTGCTGTTGTCTCAGGTGGATAGCATGGAAGTCTTCACCTCCCACCCAAACCCAGATTTGCAAATAGAGGTTTTATTTCAAGGAAGCCTTGCTTTATCCCTCCCTCTCCCTCTAGCACAGAAATCAGATGTAAAATGTAAGGACAAGAGTTTTCTTTGCCATACCTGAGACTTCCCTAGATCGGAAGAGACACCGATGTACTGTTAATGCAGTAAAGAGGTTGCCTTCAACCTGACTATTACATTAAAGCCCACTGAGCAAAATTAGTGCAAAAATCTCACACTTCTGCTGTGAGGAAGGGAAATGTAAGCATTGCTATACCTGGGGGGGACGAAGGGAGCTGTGTAACCCAGAGCATACTGTCCTGGGCTCTGACGTGCTAGGCTAGAAGGCGGTGGCAAAGTCGTGGGCACAAGTGCTAATGGTTTTCTTCAACCTGTGATTAGTTTGGTTAATAGTGACCTGCTGACTGAGAGTTGTGATGAGGTGTCTTAAAAACTTGTTGTTATTATCGTTATCAAACCCTTTTATGCTATGCACAGAACATACAGGACCCATTTGCAAAGGGCAAGTCAGGACTGTGGCTTCTTGAATGGACTGGAGACAGCACAAATGAGTGATATCCCCAGTGTCAGAAACAACCTGTGGCGGGGAAATCAGCTCAGAGTATTATATTTTAAATGTCCCTTTTCCTGGGATATTGAGCACATCTATAAAAAGGCATGTAGGAACATAAGTTCAATCATGTTCTTAAGTGCCAACAACACAGATATTTACTTGGCAATACTTTGCTCTGTCACATCTTAACCTCAAGATGATTCTTCCTCTATACAGGTTACTATATGGGAATTCCCATGGAATATCCCCATACAATTTGCTAAAGACCCACAATCTCTCTAGGCGTTTAATTTTCATCAAAGAAGAGTAACAGTGCACCATAAATCTCATTCAGTGTTTCAATGAGGATTTGCTGTATGTCCTTGAGCCTTGCAGCAGACCTTCCTGCTCTCATTTCCAGGCAGTTCCCACAGTAACAAAACCTGGGGCTGCAGTAGAGGCTGAAGCTCTTGCAGCAGCAGGAGCCTGTGTGGTTTAGCACTGGTCCAGCAGGGTTAACCGAAGCATCTGTGCTGCTTCAGGCCAGGAGAGCTCTGGGGGGATAATGGAGCTTCCTGGGGAGTGAAAATGACTGTGAGCACAATCTTGGTTGGGCTGCAGTAAAGGTTTTGCTGTTCCTTTTTTTTTTTAATAGGAAAGCTCTATGCCCTCTTTCCTTATCCTCCCCCCTTCCTCCACTGAATGCTGCCCAGACTCTCCCTCTCCAATTCTTGAAACATTCCCTTTCAAGCTCTTCTCTAGCACAGTGACTTCTATTCCAAACACAGGTCTACTGTAAAAACCTGGGGGCTGGAGCCTTCTGACTTGCATTATTTTTACTGCAGGGACTTTTACTTGCTGGCACATGTTGCTTGTACATTTTGAATAGCCAGGAGCAGAGCTCAGTGGTTTTTTTACTCACTAAGCTCTTGAGCACCTTTTGCTTGCAATGTCTTTGCAGAGTCAGGGCTGCGGGTAGTAAGACACAAGAGTATGTTCAAGTTACAGCTCTTTGTGCCAGGAGACACTCAGGGACACTTCTCTCTTGTCCAAGCAAGTTTCCTGCTGAGACCTTGACCGTTGCACTCAGACTGCAAAAAAACAGTGGCATTTGTGGTGTTCCACAGCCCTAGGGAGTCCAGGATGACCCAATCAATGTCAAGTGCTGTGAGCTGGAGTCTACCCAGTTACACTGTGTGGTCGAGAATGAATGTCAGGTTCAACATGGTAGTTTGGTGCCTTGGGTTTCCTACATCCCATCTCCATTTTTCTCCACAAACTTATCTTTCTGCCTTTTTTGTGCTTTCACTTACGCAATTCCTTTTTTTTGCTCGCTTTTGCACTGGCACTTCTGGAAAAGCTGGAAACTCCCACATTGTTCTTAAGAGGATTTCTCACTATTTCAAATCCTTGACTCTCTTTTGTCTCATCCCTCTCCCCCTGAACCCTCATTTCATGTCATTCTTCACAGACAGACTTTTATAGATTGTGTGATGCTTGAGCATTGAGTGGTTTCGCACGGCTCCAAAATAGAAGGAAAGTAGAGGCAGGAGGAATGAGTGTTTTTCCAGGACTTTTGCTAAAGGGAAGTTCCTGCTCTGGGAAACTTCCTCACGGCTTTTTGCAGACATTCATTTGCCTTTATGACTCCATTCAAGGGCAGAACAGCAACAGGACATCCCAGCAGTTGAAATGGGAACGGAATAAACATTGCAAATTCCCTAGGTAAAGAAGCGAACAAATTGCTTTACCCTTTACCAATGAAAATAAGGTGTATTTTTTAATTTTATCCTATGAATACACAAAGTAGGCCATTTTAACAAACCATCTAGTTAACCAGGGAAGTAGAGATCTCTCATGAGGAGTACCTTTCCCCATCATCCACCCCACAGCCTTTAGGACCTCTATAAAAGAGCATTAAGTAATTCAATATACTAAAGTCTTACAGACATTACAGTTTATTTGAATTTCAAACAACACATAGGAAAGGAACAGGCAGTTTAGGGCAAATAGTCCAACTGTATAGCTGAGTCAGACACTGCTCACAGCAGTAGATTCAATTTTATCAAGTTATCGTTGCATTTCCAAGCAAAAACTACCCGAAGCAAGCAGGGAGCACTACTTGCAGATCAGAGGACACAGAAACCATTGGTGAAGTAGAAAAAGGTTTCCCAGTGGTTAGATACTTTCTCATAACCACTGTATGCAAAAACAGTGAGCAGGGTTAAATTTATTCTCTCCTCCCCCTGCCCCACACCCCTCCCCACGATACGCACATGCTTTTTTGACACCAGGACAATTATTTGTCCAGATGCAAACCAGGTTTTTTCTCTGCTGTCCATCTCAGAGTGAAACCACTGTCTGTCAGTCATTCCTTCTTTCCTCTCTGTGCTTCCAAGCTCACCTGTAGTTCTCCTCTTCCGCCAGAGCAACACAAGATCAATCTGCTGATTCCTGACATCTAGCTAGTGCTGGTAAAGTGAACAAGGCTGATACTGTACTTACCAGGGCAACTTCTGCTGGGTAAAGTGGAATGGAGGAGCAGCTTTCCTGCCTTATATCAAACACACAACTTAAATTGCAAGCCCAAACAAGGCACAAAGCAGTCAGTCAGCAGCTTTCCAGTGACTGATACCAACTTTCCCTGTCATCAGCTGTAAAAGGGACAGGTTTCTTTTGTATTTTTCCTGAAAGCTTTGATTTGCATGTGTGAAAACTTCCATTTTCCGAGCTCCTGCCCAGGCACAGCAACCACTCCGAAGGGGCCACATATTAGAATTTACATTGTGAAAACCATGTATTTCAACCCTTTAGATTACTGCAACCCCATAAAGCATAACTCGTGGAGAACATCAGCTGTACAAAGACTAATATTTTTTAGGGCAAACCTAACTACCAGGTGCTTAATAAGAGGCCTAGTCCCATAGTCTGACACTTTTGCATCCATACAAGTAGAGGTCAGTGTAAACCTTCTGGAAAGGGAGCCCTAGGAAATGAACACACTCTGTAAAATAAAAAAGCATAAGAGAGCATGTGGCAGTGACTGTGCTGGGAGGGCAGTAACTCCAGATTTAGCAACAGTTCTGTAAATGTTGAGCATATGGGCTCCCATTTCACATCTCCGACCAACTGATGAAAAAAAAAGACCCTCAAGCCTGTTGCATCTGAATAATCATTAAATTAATACAGGATTACATTCTAGCGTGCTACAGAGATAATGAGATAAAACCATTTTAAAAGATAGTCCCTCTCTGTTCCAGACCTCAGCAGCTGTCTCTCCCAGTGTTTCTCCATTAAAGACAGGGGATGAAATACTGCCTGCTTTGGAGCCGGTGACAAATCACTAGGATACAGGGGATTTCACTCAGGGCTGAGGCTAAAAGCTGTATAAATTAATCAGATTCTTCTCTTATCTAAAATGGGCATTTGATTATGCTGGAAGAAGACAGAGCATCTGCCTGTGCTGCAGAGTCCCTTCCCAGTAGCTGTGCTTGGGGAGCCCTCTAGCGCAGCCACAGCAGAGGCTCATGAGAGGACTTGCTGTAATGACATGGCATCCTAAAAAGCTGTAAATCATGATAAGAAAGTCCCCTCCCACGGCATAACTGCAGCCAGGCCAGCAGACTTCCCAGGACAGCAGCATGGCCTCGAACTATAAATTTCTCCAGGTGACCAGCCTGCGCTGGTACAATTTGGTTAGTGCAGTTCTGGGCTGTATATAAGGGTGCTTCTGCCCAGCAAAACTTAGAAGAAGGATGGCTCTGAGACCTAGGTTTGCACCAGGGTCACAGGCATTAGCTGCTGAAGAGGGAAGGGGCTTATAAAGCAGGAGTTAAAGCAAATCAGGGCTGAGGTAGCTCAGGAGAGCAGCCTTGAGAGCTCAGATTTGGACCAGAAAGATGTACATGCTAAAAATGACCCCACAGCACAGATGCTGAAATGGAGCCAGAGCTGGAGGTAGAAGAGGCATAGTAAGTCCTGGATGAGGTGCATAAAAAGGATGAGTCAGAACAGTAAGTAATGTATTAGAAGAGATGCAATATGGGCAAGGTCAAGGCGCAGAAAATAGGTGTGAACACAGGTCTGTGCACACACGCTGTGGGTGGAGAGAGATCATCCATCACCTTGAAGGCAGGAGCATGTAGTGCCTGGCTGTTCAGTATATTTAGGTTAACACTTTTATAAATAGCTGGTCACCAAAAAAAAAAACGTAGCTAAAGCTCCCCCTGTGAACTTGAAAACAGTCACACCTGAAGGAAGCTTCAGACCACAGCTAGCACTGGGAAATATTTCTCTTTAAATAAAAAAAAAGAAAGAACCATGTTGAATAGTGGGTCCAAAAATACTGTCAGTAATGCAAGATACACCTCCATAGCACTGTAATCAGCACCTGACAGCACAGCCATTGGAAGACACTTTCTGGTGGTGGAGAGCATCTGTCATTTTTTGCAGTGGCCAGTCTGGCCCAAACCACAACAGCCAGGAGCAGTGTCAGCATTCACACCCTCCTTTCAGTGCTCTTAGGATGTCCATAAGGTCTTCTGCTTTGTTTTCTGCTGCCCTTGCAGAGTTCCAGGGTAAGACTGAGGTGAAAATCCTGGAAGGGGACATCCGAGATGTGACGTTCCTGCACCATGCCTGTCAGGGGGTCTCCCTCGTCATCCACACGGCTTCCATCATTGACACCATTGGCCTCATAGAGAAGCAGCTGCTCTGGGAAGTGAATGTGACAGGTGAGTGGGTCAAGCACCTGTCTCAAACCCATGTCTATTATGCGCTAATCATCATCTGTCCAGGAAAGGGAACACCTGACCTGTTTTTTTGAGCCAGATTAACTGGGTTTTCTGCATCTTGTACAGACATACGAGTGAGTGCAATGCATGTATATGTGCAGCCCTATGCAGCTACATTGCTCTCTGCACCCAGAGTGGACTGATCTTCTACTGCAGGGCACTGCAGGATCACTCAGTCTTGTCAGCAGTCACACATGCCCATCCTGACATCTGCAAAGGCTTTGCCTTCAGTGGGGATAGCCATGATCCCATCGTCAGTGGAGCTTTTTGGAGGCAATTCACCTCTGAAATCCTAATATGCATCTGAGAAAAACTTGTTCTTATTCTCCCTCCCCATTTTTGAATGACATTTTTGAATTTTTACAAACACTTGCAGGCTTTGGCTGCAGTTGCCAGCAAACTTGCACTGCTGATACCCCAGACCCTGTGGCTTTCTGCTTCCTAGTCTTTTTCTTCCTCCTTTTCTGCTTTTCCTCCCATTTGCCATTACATCTGTATGTGCATGGATGTAGTTTAGAGGAGCAGGTGCTCTCACACCAGGAGCTTATAATTAAAAATCCCCAACAAACTCAAGGCTATGGGAGGGAGGGGTTTCGGTCACTTCTCACTCAGGGGTAGGATCTCCCTTTCTCCTAAGAAGCCCCTGTTCTTCATGAAAAGATCAGATGAAAGGGGAAGTTTTTTGTCTTAGGAATGGCCTGTGTGGCATCAGTTGTCAGGAAATTTAAATATATTTCCTTAAAGAACAACAAAACCCTCTATGCTTTTCACGCTGATCTCCATGGCTGTGTTATTTCAGCTCCCAGGTGAAGATTTGGGGAAGATGTTCTTATTTACATGGATAGTTTTCCTGGTTCTTTGGCTTCTCTGCCACAAATACAGGGCTGCTTCACAGAAAAATAAGGAACACATTTCTACAGGCACCACTCTTACAAATATTGGCCACTCATCAGTGTTCAGAGCAAGAGAGCGTGCTTTGTAGTCAAGTTGTCTCTTACATGCACCTTAAAACCAGTGCATTTTGCCTGTTTTTGCCTGGCTCATTGCCTGTACATTCAGCTTCCAGACCCTTTCATTTCTGCTCAGTCAAAGCCACAAATTGCCAGTGATGACAAATTTGAGGCCAGCGGGCAGCTTCTTAGGTCTCTGCCAGGAGGGAAGAGCAGAAAGGCAAGTTCCTGTAAGCCTGTGCATTGGGTAGTATGAAAAATAAATATACAGGAGTGATAGTTCAGAAACAGGATTTGTAAATCTCTCTCTTTATGATCATACTCCTGCTACAATCTGTTTTTCACAGCAGAATGTGTTGCCATGGGGGGAAAAGCAACAAAACCCCTAACAAATATTAAAATGTCCCAGAAGCAGAAAGCTCTCAAGCTGTGAGCTGGAGTCAGAGCTAGAAAGTTTATTAAGTCTGCCCCATCGTTCCTTTTGGTGGGTTTAGACGTCAGCACAAAGTATCTAGGCTTTCATAAATCTTTCAGATGCCCCCTCAGCAGAGTCTGCCCATGTGTAAAATAAGCCCACTGGGCCAGTGAGGGTTCACTGATAACATTTGGTGTAATAAAAGCACACACCAGACCTGCTCCCAGAGCAAACTGACCCTGAGGTCAGTCAGCAAATACTGCAGTCCTGTTTACCTCCATTTCCATTCTGATGCTCTTCTGCCTTTCTGACCAGCAAAGACGTTGCTACATAGTTAGATTTGCAGGATAAAAGTTTTGTTTCTCCTAGAAAACAGAACTTTTATAATACAAACATGTCAAGGTATCAGATGTGGATGTTCACAAACCAGAACAGAAGAAAACACGTTAAACTTGCCATGATGCAGGGTTTTCCTCTGTGTCACATGCCACACAATGTCAGAGGGAAAATATCTTTTTAGGAAGGGGAGCAAATTTTTAGAAGGAAGGGAATTAAGAAAATAGTTAAATATAATCCAAACAAAAGTACTCACTGTGAATCAGCCAGAAGGGCTTTGTGTGCAAGCAAAACTTACAGACCAGCTCCACAGAAGATTTACTTTATTTAAATGCTATGTGAAATTCCCATTACTGTAAGACCCTTTTCATGTTTTACTATGAAAGGGATGGCTTCTGAAGGTTCTCTGCCTTAAGCCAAGTCAATCCAACCAACAGGCACAAGACCCTGAATCTGTGGTCAGTATCCATGCTAATCTAAGCAAGAGCAAAATTTGACTCTTGACATCAAAAAACCCCACAACATGCAATTAAGACCAAGTGTATATCCTTGTCTAACTCCAACTGACACCACTTCAATACAGATGCAGAACAGGTTCAGTTTCATTGAACGCTCTGCCCAGTTCAGGACAGGATCCTTCCAGCTGCTGAGAGGGGACACCTGGCCAAGCTCAAGACAGAGATTCTGTTTCTGATCTAAAAAGCTCACTTTTCACTGCTTGGTGAGATCTAGACTGACTTGCATGTTTCTCTTTTGAAGGTACTAAGCTACTGCTGGAGGCATGTGTCCACTGTAACGTCCAGCACTTCATATATACCAGTACCTTAGAAGTGGCAGGCCCAAACTGCAAAGGTGACCCGATTTTCAATGGTGATGAAGATACAGCTTATGATGGTGAATCAAAATCTCCTTACGCCCAGAGCAAGAGACTGGCAGAGGATTCTGTGCTGAAAGCAGATGGCCAGGTGTTAAAGGATGGTGGCACGCTGATGACTTGTGCCTTGAGACCCATGTACATCTTTGGAGAAGGATGCCAATTTCTTCAAGGTCACCTGGACAAGTGTCTTTTGAACAAAAATATCTACCTGCGCTTCTCCAGGAAGGAGGCTTTGGTGAACCCCGTGTATGTGGGGAACATTGCCTGGGCACACGTGCAGGCAGCCAAAGCCCTGAGGGTCCCACAGAAAGCTAAGCACATCAGGGGGCAGTTCTACTACATCTCAGATGACACTCCTCATGTGAGCTATGCAGATCTAAATTACGAGCTGACCAAGGACCTGGGGTTTGGAATCGAGCCCCGGCTCCCCATGCCTCTGACAATGCTGTATTACTTCTCGCTGTTGCTGGAGATCATGAGCTTCTTGCTCAGGCCCTTTATCAGATACATCCCCTCCACCAACCGTCACCTGGTCACTCTCCTGAACACCCCGTTCTCTTTCTCTTATAGAAAGGCCCAGAAGGATTTTGGCTACATGCCCCGCTACACATGGGAAGAGGCCAAGCAGTGCACCGCACAGTGGATTGCCTCCATAGTTCCACAGAGAAGGCTCTACTTGAAAAGCAAGGCTGCCTAAGTCTTAAGATGAGCTGAGACCTGGCTAAACAAGTAGGGCCAGGAGCCAGAGGAGAGCGGGGTGGACAGCAGCAGCAGGCAACTACAACACATTTAAATGAAGACTTCATGTAACAGCCCCCTCACCTCCCCATCCCCCCAGCCATCACCACTACCCAGAATAAATAAAAGAGAAATGTTCATTTGTTTGCTGAGTACAGTATGATCAGGGTAGCTTGACTGTGTACTCCACATCCACTTCTACATCGTGTGCAGCATGAAGACACTATTCTACTAAGACTCCACACAGTCCCTGGTGTGAACACATCAGCCTTTCTTTTCACTCCATGCCATCTTTAGGGCTTTTGTCAAACACAGTTTGTCCTAGAACTATGATTATACTTTACAAATACATACTACTGAGCCATACCCTACTCACTCAGCTCTTGCCAGACTTAGGAAACACACAGCAAGTAGAAGCCATCTGATTGCAAAAGCCAAATCTTGTTCACTTTTTCAAGAGTGTTGCCCAGTTTCGCATGCCATTCACCTGACAGTCAACCTGGAGAGCAAATTTGGACACTGTAAGCATTGTGAGGCCAAAAGCACAATGTAAGTGCAACATAGTTTTATTTAGGACGGTTTGTGAGAGAAGGGGGAGATTTGGTCAGGTGAATTCCTCATCCATTCCCATTTTCCTAGTTACCAACTTTGCGACAAATCTGATGGCTGCCCAGCAGAACAACAGCTTCAACAAGATAAAACGGAGAAAAATATTGCAGGAGAGCCTTGGTCACTGAAGGGTTTCCATTGCAAAGGCAAGACATTTGTGAATACAGAGGAAAAATAAACAGTGCTAAAAAAAATCATGCTATTTCCAGGTTTCAGCTGGGAACAAAGGGAACTTTAGCTGATAGATGTACATGTGTTGTCCCTGTGCTTTTCTGATGGCCATACAAGTTTATGCAGAATGTGTAACTTGACTTTTGGGCCAAAAATGTAGAACTTGTCTGAACAAATAGATGTCATCCAGTGTTTGCTTCTTAAACATACAGCTCACTTGCTGAAAACAGCTTTAAAAGATGGGAATTTCTCTCTTCTGTTCAGGATGATGTGAACAGACACATATTACCTAACTCAGTACTAATGTAAATAAATCACATTTCCAGAGATGCTGGCAGCTTGAAGTCTGTGTTGAGTTTAATTATTCAGTGCCCTAGACATTTCATACTCCTAGTGCAAATATTATCATTTTCTTCATGTAAATATTATCATGTTCCTTCAGTAACATCTTAGGTTAAGTATGTAAGATCCAAAGCAGCCAAATCCCAGCCACCAGAACTTCCAGTCATATTCTGGGGATGGAGAAATAAGGTTTCCAGGCTCCCACTGAAGGCTTTGTAAACACTCAGCAAACTAGTACTGTGGAAGTTATTTGAATGCTATCACTTCACAGATAATGATGTCAATGCCTCCACTCTTCTCCACTTCGCAAGCAATACTCTTAACACCTCCATCAGAGTTCCTCCTTTATTAGTGAACACACAGATCTAGCCCATCTAGCTGTGTCCTAGCACACAGCACATCAGCATGAGGACTGCTAACCAGCTGTATAATCCCTACAAGGAGACTCTCATGCCTTACCATCACATTAAAAAAATAAACATAGTTTTAATAAATAGATTAACTCCCCAGAGAGGCCATGATTTGGAAGCAAGCTGCTAACAGTGACCAAAGGACCATGGAACCTCGGTGGCATGGAACCACTTGAGGCACAAATCTTGCATGCATCACACACAAATGGAGGGTAATTTGGGGAGCCCTCTCAACATGTCTTTAGTAGTTGCTGTGGTCTGGACACAATTTGGCCAACCTTGTTTTTAAACAAAATATTTTATAAGGTGGGTGATTGTCCTATCCAGTAAGGGAGCCATGCATCTTTCACCACCTCACAAGCTAAGGAACCAACCCAATGTCTTGCTGTCCAAAAAATGTGGGCCAGCTCAGGGACAGAGGGAAACCAGGAACATAGAAGTGTGGGGTTTGCTCTATCCCTAAGGCCCAACTGCCTTCCCTGGACACACGGGTGTACATCCCCCTCATTTTCTCTCATCTTCTTTCTTACCCTAACACCACCAGAACTCAAAATTCCAGGATATTGCACCCCTGCTCTAGCTTCTGTACTGCCCTTCTTGGGCTTCAGGAACGCAGGTGTCCAGGATCTCCCCACTCTTTGAACAAGGTGAGGAGGGAGGGAGCAGGCAGGGAGATGGGTGACTCAGTGTGATCCACCCCAAAAAGCTTTGTTATCCCAGTTAGCCTGGGCTCTGGGGCCACAGATGGGCCAATGGAGAGAGCAAAAGCCCTCTAGATGTCTAGAGGGCAGGCAGAGCAGTGGACAGCTAGGACCTCAGAAGCTCAGGTGTGCCATTTGTCTGGTTGTGGAGAACTGAGGAGTTTGCAGCCAGTGAACTGCTGTGGAAAGTTAGGTATGAGGATCTGCAAAACTGTCCGAGGACAGACAAGACCTCTTGTGGTTAGAGACACGATGCACAGGAAAGGGCTTGGGTTTTCATGTTGTCATTCTGTCTAGGCCTCTCTGGTGAAAATACATTTAACTACAGCCCCTCTGTTCACGCCTTCTTCCCCTTTAGCCTCACCATTCATGGTCTTTTCTCCTCCACTCTCCTGTATGTTGGCTTCTTTCTCACCAGATGGCTCCTTTCCACTCCCTTCTGTATGTACTCTGTTGCCTTCCAGTTCCTTGCAGTTCTGTTTCCACTTCCATTCTCCTCCGGGCCCCGTTTGCAGACTGGGGCTCTCCAGTCACCACCATTTATAGTCTACTCCCAGTTGCCCACTTGCACTCTCCTCCTTGGCAGAAGGCACTGACTTGGTTATCAAACCCTGCTGAGAAAAGCAAAAAGGTGTTCAACAGACAGTAACATCCATTATTTTTCTAGGCTAGTGAGATTTCATCCTAATGTCTAATGAGGCTGATGATGGGAGCAGTCATGGCTGCTCTGTCACTGAAGTAGTAGAAAGAACAATCCAGGCACACGGAAATAGAACAGGAAAGGAAGGCGGAGAAAACAGAAGCAGAGCTGCTACTTAAATAGGGGAAGACATTAACAGATCAAAGAGCTAGAATATCACAACATGTACCAGAAAACCAGGACATCTTTATCCAGGTTTAACACAGCTCCTAAAATACCTACAGACGCTGCCAGAGAGAATAAAGAACAACTTTTCTTCCACAGTTCAATAAGTGACTCATTTTCCGAATGCAGGCTCCCATCGCCAGAGCCTGCTTTATAATTTTTGCTTTCTCAGTAAGACAGTGGGATCTTTTCATCTCTCCAAGGGCGGTGCTCCTGACAATCAGATTTCTAAGCACCAAATTCCCCCTTTGCTGAACTTCCTCTCTCTTTCTTGTTACCACATCCCTTCCTTCAAATCCCCAGGACAAGCTGCTCTGGCTGACAGGAAGCTAATTCCCACTTCTACTTTCTATCGTGCCACCCAGCTCCCACCTCATCAGCAACCAACTTGTACTGTGACAGAGACCCCTTCCTCCCTTTGTTGATTTCTTCCTTCTTTCAATCACACCATAAAATTTATAATTGAATCTATTTTTTTTAAAGGCAAGGCACCGACGCTCATAGACCCAAAGGAAATGCTGTCCTGCTGTCTATTTCAGATGAAATTTATAGTGCTGCTTGAGATGAGTCTTGTTTTGGAAGCAGTTCCCACGCTCAGCACTCATAAAGGGCGTTTTTCTTGTGTGGACTCACTGGTGTCTGTTGGTGTGAGCACTCTGTTTGAAGCACTTCTCACATCAGGAACACACATAGGGCTTCTCACCCGTGTGGGTTCGCTGGTGCTGGATGAGTGTTGAGAAATCACTAAAGCCTTTTCCACACTGCATACATTTGAAGGGCCTCTTGCCAGTGTAGACTCTCTGGTGATCTCGAAGGTGAGAGTTTTGGCTGAAGCTTTTCCTATAGAGACAAGGGTAGGGCTTTTCTCCTGTGTGCATTCTTCTGTGAGAGATAAGGTGGGACCTCACCCTGAAGTTTTCCCACACTCACTGCACATGAAGGGCTTCTCACTTGTCTGGGTTCTCTGGTGTTTAATTAAATTAAAGCACCACCTGAAGCCCGTGTAACATTTGGGACATTTGTGGGCTTTCTCGTTCTGGGATGCCTCATGTTGCTGAAGATTTGATGTCTCACTGACATCTTCTTCACATTCACTGCATCCACACTGATTGTCACCCACAGCATCTAGGTGGAGAAGATTGCTGTGGCCCTCAACGGCCTTTTCTAGATTAATGCCATCATCCTGTATCTCCTCAAGGAGGTCCCTCTGATGCATTTCTGAGTATTCGCTCTCATTCTGTCTTGCTACATCTCTGGAAAGCATTATCTTCAAATGCCTCCAGTAATGTCTCACACTGTTTTACATTCTTGGGATCCTCTGCCAGGGAACTGTCATCTTCATTCCCACTGTCAGCCTCATAATCTTAATGAAAGACAATGAACGCTGAGCAAGAAAGCAAGATAAGGAGAGGGACTTAGAGACTGTAAGCCTTTACTAAACCCTAATTTAAGCTTGGACTTGGAGGGCAACACCCCCTTCTTTACTCACGGATTCAGGATTATTCCTATCCTCAATCCCTGATGACTAATGATGATCTCAACACTTGGTTGTAAACTCAACACAGAATTGACTTTATTGGCTTTACGTTATAGAGGTATTAAATTTATTTGGTGTATTCTTCACCTTTGGTGATGTCTGTGGGGAGATCCCATCCTGCGATCTCCTTGAAAATGGCCACGCACACCTCCATCTCTCCTTCCATCTGGAGACCATTCGTGAATGGACTCTGAACGAGACTGCAGAGCAAAGTAACTACCACGTGGGCTGTCACTCTGTAGTGATTCTCTTGGCCCTACAAGCTATCCCAGAGGATCGCTTTTTAGCACAAATGCTACCCCATCCCTCATTCTGCCACCTTGTAAATTTGAGCTGAGAGTCTCCCCTCCACGGCACACACAGCCCCCGTGCTCCCCAGGGGTTGGAGGGCAGGGAAGGGGGGAAACTTTGCCCCAGCACCTGAGCAGGGAAAAACCTGCCCCATGGCAGCAGGGTGGGAGAACGTCCTGAGAACATCCTCCTGGGCCGACAGGGTGGGGAAGGTATTTAGGAGAAGGCCCAGCCTCAGGCCCAGGCAGGGAGAGGGTGGCTGCTGCCTCCCTGACAGGAGCTGGGCTGGAGAGGCCCCAGCTGGGCCCGCTCACCACCTCCTCCTCATGGCTGCCCACCAGAGGAAGGCCAAGTGGGAAAGAAGGTGCGAGGCAGGAAGCCCTTCCCGCCACTGCCTGGCCTGGTCCTGGGCCTTGGTGACGGCCTGAGGGAGTACGGGTGGGCCTGGGGCCGGGGGTCACCCTTGTCCCGGCGGTGGGGTTGAGGGGGGCCCAGCGCCGCCAGCAGCCGCCCGCTTTGGCCTGCTGAGCCAGACAGTGACTCTTCATCCCTCATGAGTAAAGATGTGGGGGTGAAGGTGAAACCTAAAATGTGGCAAAGATCCTTAAATTTGCAGAAAGGGTCCCCTGCGCTGAGCTTCTCACAGCCCCCTGCCCTGTGGAGCTGCACCCGTCTCCCTGGAGCGACTGTTGGTGGAAAAACTGCCCGGCAGCAGAAAAGGCGGTAAAAAATCAGGCCTACGTTATTTATTTTTAGTCATTTTTTTCACAGCATGGTGGGGATTTTTACACCTCTTATTCTTTCTTTGTCTCTGTTGGTGCCAGGGCACAGGGAGGGCTGGCAGAGAGAAGGTGAGGAGAAGAGATGGACCCAGGCAGCCATTGTCCCCACAGACCCTCCGGTTTGCATCTGTGTTGTCTCCCACTTCAGGTATCTGCCCAAAATACCTGAAAGCCCAAGGGGATGGGTACCCAAACATAGAATCATAGAATTGTCTAGGTTGGAAGGGACCTTTAAGATCATCTAGTCTAACCATCAACATAACTCTGATAAAAAAAAAAACAAACCACCAACAAAACCCCCCACGTGTTCCTAAACCATGTCTCTAAGCACTATATCAAGCCGTCTTTTGAATACTTCCAGGGATGGTGCCTCAACCACCTCTCTGGGCAGCCCATTCCAATGCTTAATAATCATCTAGTCCAACTCCCCTGCTAAAGCAGGATTGCCTAGAGCACATCACTCAGGACTGCATCCAGTGTAAATATTTTTCCTAATATCCAATCTGAACCTCCCCTCACACAACTCGAGGCATTTCCTCTTGTCCTATCACCTGTGAGTTGGAAGAAGAGACCAATCCCAGTTAACGAGTGAGTCTGTGCAAGTTGTTACCCATTAACAAAGGTGCTAATTAAGCTATTTCAAGGGATACCAAGTGGAAGAACAAGCACACACTGCAAAGCAGCTGAATTGCTGCAAGTCTACTTCACAGTAACTTTTTTATAACACTTTTATGCTTGGTAGGCTAGCAAAGTGGCTACAAAATGTACTTGATCAACAAAAGCCTTATTATTTTTTAAGATAGCTGAGCAGTACAATTCATCTAATTTAATTAGTTTGTTGGCAATCAGTAAAGCAAACTATTGGTTACCAATGAAACTCCACTGACAACAAGATCACATCAGCAAGAAGAATTTTACTTCTGTATACACACTGGAAAAGAGAAAAATGTTAAGGCTGTTTTGCTGGAAAGGTGTTTGTTTACCTTTCAGGCATGCAGCAAACGGGTAAGTAGCAAAGACATGTCAGCAATACATGCATGCTAGAGGCAAATTAATTACTTCTGGTTCCAGCAGGTGTAGACCACCTTTTATTATTAAATATTTTGTTGCCAGAGAGGAACAGATTTTTGCTTGCCAAAATGGACTGGAAATCTAAGCTATTAATTTACATTTTTAATAAATTCAAGAATACTGAAGAAGCTCCAGAGGAACAGAAGCAAAAGTGCCTGTTGTGTCAACACTGGATATACATGTCTGGCACTGGTATCATTAATATAGGATACCATCAATGGAGGACAGTTGGATAGTAAATGCCAATGAGCATGATTTTATGAAGAATCCATATTGTCAGACAAGTGTGACGTTGGTATTTTGAGTGCATTGCAGATTTCCTATTACGCTAGAAATTTTGATTTATTATCGAAGTTTGATTTACAAGTTGTCATTTTACACTGACGTTAAAGAAATTAATACAGACTAAGTGATAAAAATCACAAAATAAATGTTAACTTTCTCAATTACAATCTTTAAGTCAAAACTGCATTTTAAAAAAAAAGAAAAAGCTTTGGCTCAGTTCATAGGGTTGGTGCAGAATCAAAATGTGAAACTTTATGTCTGCTATGTGGGAAACCAGAGTAACAATGGTCTCTTAACCTGAAAAATCTGTCACTTATACAGTTTCAATATAATAGATTATAGCCACTGTAAAGCTAATTTGGGAAGTGGGAGTACAGTCAGATGCATTTCAAAAGACATCTTCATTTCACCAGTTCTCGTCATGACCCCTGTAGTCCCATGTAATGCTTTGCTCCCTCTCTATAGCTCTCCATCTGAATCTCCATCTAAGTTCAAAAACCACTGGATAGATGGAATTCATGTCTGGCTGTGCCATGGATTTCTTTCTCATACCAATGCTTGTCATTTTTAGAGGTTCCTCGTTCACATAACTTAACTTCTCACATTTCTTAAAGTGTGCCTTTCCAGTGCTAGCAGCAAGCAATTGAAGATCAGTTTTAGAAAGCAAGAAGAACAGTAACCAAAAATAAAGAATCATAGAATACCAGATTGGAAGGGACCTCAGGGATCATCTGGTCTAACCTTTCTTGGCAAAAGCATGGTCTAGACAAGATGGCCCAGCACCTTGTCCAGCTGAATCTTAAAAGTGTCCAATGTTGGGGAATCCACCACGTCCCTGGGGAGATTATTGCAATGGCTGATTGTTCTCATTGTGAAAAATTTTCCTCTTGTGTCCAGTCAGAGTCTCCCCAGGAGTAACTTGTATCCATTACCCTTCCTCTTTTCCATGTGACTCCTTGTAAAAAGGGAGTCTCCATCTTCTCTGTAGCCACCCTTTAAATACTAGAACGTGCTGATAAGCTCTCTCCTAAACCTTCTTTCTCAAGGCCGAATAAACCCTATTCTCTCAGCCTTGCCTCATATGATGGGCTTCCCAGTCCTTGGATCACCTTGGTGGCCCTCCTCTGGACCCTCTCTAGCCTGTCCACATCTTTTTTGTATAGTGGGGACCAAAATTGAACACAGTATTCCAGGTGTGGCCTGACAAAGGCTGAGTAGAGTGGGATAATAATTTCTTTGTGCTGGTGATGCCCTTGTTGATCCAGCCCAGCATCCTGCTGGCTTCCTTAGCCACAGCAGCACACTGTTCAGTCATATTGAGCTGTTTGCCCACCAGGACCCACAGGTCCCTTTCCAGAGAGCTGCTCCCCAGCCAGGTAGATCCTAGTTTGTGCTGCACTCCTGGATTATGTTCTCCCAGGTGCAAGACTTTGCCCACTCTTCAAGCCTATCCAGGTCTTGCTGCAGGGTGGCTCTCCCTTCTGAAGTACCACTTCCTCACTCAGTCTGGTGTCATCAGCAAACTTTGTCAAGGTACAGTTGATCCCACCATCCAGATCACTTATAAAAGTATTAAGCAGCGTTGGGCCCAGTATTGATCCCATTGCACAGACCACTTGTCTAGACCATAGACAAAATTGGTGCTGAGAGGCATTTCTTCATCAAGTTCTTTCAGTCCAAAAGAGTCTTTACTATCTAATAGAGAACAGCTATAATATATCTGCCTTTATGAGTCTTTGTAGGTATTTCCTTTGTAAAAGATAACATGATTAAAGAGCTTTAAGGTGTGAGTACACAGGAGAGTTTACCTGCCTTGTTAACCAGCTATTAAATTCCAAACTCAGTGTCTCACCCATATCCCTTCTCAAGGACTTTCTCCTTCAGTAAGGCTCAGCCTGGTTTGAAGATCCTTTCTTCAAAGTGATGCTGTAACACTCTCCTCAGCTTAATTACCAAGTGATACTCTTCAGAAAGTCATCCAAGCCTTTTTAAGATTATTGCAACAGTTCTCAAGGCTAAAAGGGACAATTGCACGATCTGTTCTTACTGCCTGAATAATGTAGTCCATAGACTTACAGCCCCTTATGTCCACTGAGCCTAATAACTTGGGCCTGACTGAAACGTGTAATACAGAAAAGCATCCAGACCTCATCCATAGGTGTCAAGGGAAGAAGAATGTATCACTTGGTAATTAAGCCTTTTCACTGTTAAAAATGTAGACCTTATTTTTCAGTCCGGATTTGTCAAGTT